TTAAAGCTGTTGAACTAGAGATATAACAGATGTGTAGGGTATAAGGTTCAAAACAATTATCATGACTGGACATCGATATTTCGCATATACGTGCATCAACGATTGTGGATTGTAAATAGGCACTGCATAAACCCTAATATCCAGATACGGTAAACATCACACATTGGAAGGGCATCACATTTTCTCATACCGTTTTGTCTGTTGGATCATCGCTAGTTAGTTATTGGCATTACGTTTTTTTCACTCTAATCGCCGGACGTTTCGTTGCCAGAGATATATTGCGCTAATACCTCAAATCCAGATGCGCAATGCTTTCAGACCGTCGTGAAAAACATCAAAACCTTCTTCTGGACTGTTCTTGATGTGACGCTACCCAACGAAACGAGGTGCATGTACATGAATATTGTCAAAAATACCCATACTTTTATCCCAAGCTGCCTAATTCTTTTATGAGCCTTCCAAGTATGGTTTTTTAGGAACGTTTCTCTATGATTAACAGATAATTCGGTCACACAAAATCTACAAAATGCTGCGGCACCCAGTGCAGGAAACGTAGTTGTAATGAGGAGTACCTAGGTTAACTCACCTTGATGGTCTCTCTGGTAGAATTCACAGTGTTTGCTACTCTTATCCTACATTGCTTTCTTACCAGTANCAGTATAGACGACCTCGCTCCCGATCCCTCCAAATTTCTAAACATGATATTCGTATTTTTCAAAATAAACCGTTAGGCATATCTGCTAAAGCCCTTTATATCATAAAACATGCGAGATAATGCCAATAGTATACAACGGATGATTTTGCCGTATATCGGTGTGCTACTCAGCCGAATTTAATTTTAGTCTCGAGAAAAGATTTCCAAATTTGGAACGGATGAGTTATTAAATTTTGCTGTCATATACTGACATGAGTGTTCCGTTCATTTTCCGCGTCCTGATCCGCTTCGTTCTGTTTCCTCGTATATTCTCGTTTCCCCTGGAGTCATTTGTCACCTATTCCTTTCACGGCATGCACAAGTGTGTTGCTGGTTATCGACAAAAGTCATAAACCAATGAATCGTTTTTAAATAGATCTTATAAGTTGTGCACATTCGTTTCCAATCTAATCACACTAGATCTGTGTATTTTCTCATACGACCGCCCACTGATTTGCTGCTTGCCCTAATTGCATCGATGTCCTGGTAACCCAAAATCCAGTGAACCTGAATTGCACTCCCTTTTAAATGGTTTTCTATCTTCCTTGGTTTTTACAACTGTTTTGTCTTTCCACTTTCATAATTGTATTTAGACTGACTGTGTAGCCGCCGCGTATTCATCTTCAGGTTTGATGGAAAATCCTACTTGACCTGGTCATTATTGCTGGAGACGCATCTATTACGGAACCTAGGACAGTATGACTGGAATGGTGCTTGAATAGCTTTTTATACTAGTGTTCATTTATTTCAAAACAGCTCACTTTTAAGATAACCGTTTTACAGAGATAATTGCGTCACGAACTGAACAGACGGCACAAACGCGTGAATTTTGTCACGGATGCAACCACTGATACACCGACAGCAAACATATGCAACTGACTGAGATTGGTTTACTGATGCCTGTGCTAATGAGGCTTGAATGATTCAATGAGACGTGGCCTAATAAGTTGTATGCGCAACTGTCATAATATAATGATTGATATTGACGTTCCCTCCATCTACGGAACGCTCAATTGTGTCTAGGTTACTAAAGATGGTATAGGAGAACCCACATTTGGTGATGATTTGCAAGTTATTTAGCTTTTTCTACATGACCGAAGTCCAAACAGAATCGCTTTGCAAATAACACGGACAGTCACTTTCAACGAATGAATAATGTAACTATGGTCAATGTTGTTTTTGTTAGCGGTATGTTGTATAAACCTGTGGGTTTAGATTTTCCGAGATGTTACAAGATTTGCCGCAGATAATTAGCTTACGACTGAATTCTTATGTCAAGGATAAACGTGTATAGTTCAGTGAACTCAATTTATTTTTCCGTCATACACATTCTGCGTTTCTGACCGAGTTGTCCTAACCTAATATCCATGCAGCCCACATTTTAGGAGTTCATCAAAACGTGTGTACCAATAAATTGACGTTACTTACTGCATTTTGGACATCTGATTACGATAACTTCGATTGAAACCAGTGCTTGATAGGAGAATCTTGTTACGCGGTCTGAGGTTTTTGTATATGTATTGGCCGTTGTAGGCCGAGAGAAGTTTACTTGTATGCCGCTGATAAAAAAATGAGGTCTTATACAAGATCGGTTTGTGTCCAATTACACATATGTTGGGAGGTTTTGGATGTGCATAAAAGAGTGTAGAAGCGTTTACTGTGTCAGTTGATGTGATCTTTCGTCATTTGGGTCAAAGGATATGTCCTGTTCATATTACATACAAGGCCAAGAATACCGCTGAAGATAGGTTCATGCACAAAATGTAACTAATTCTCGCCGTGTTATTTTATTACGAGTCGGGTCAGATAGGGTACAGACATTTTTTTATAAATAGTAATAGATAGGGTAGATATCGCGTGTGAGTGAATGAGAACGACAAGACAATGGATCAGCGTGTATTGGATGAAGTGTCATGTACAATCGTATGAGTATATATACCAGTTTTAATGTAATCATCGTGTGGATTCTGTGAATAATGAATCAATCGGAATTGATGGAGCACGACCAATGATTATCAATCCACGATAAACCGTTTTGAATTATTGTCTTAAAGAGCCGGGACACACTACAGGGAGCAGTATAGTTGATCGAGGTCAGGACTAGCTGTGGGGCTCGGAAATTTCTGAGTTTACAAAAATGAAAAGATAAGCATCTCGGTTTTCCAGTAAAGTTGTAAATATGTATGGCCCGGGACAGATTACGTTCTATGGTGAAACCCTTTTAATTGATCGACGTCACATTGAATACAGGCCTACAATTAGGGTACGGACGTTGGTTGGGAATGAGGAGCCGGAACGATTGAAAACCGAAACACATAACTGCACCTTGAAGAACACCAGATAGATTAAAGAGACGTTTTGATGTCCTCTTTCCTAATTTGGTACATTGGACCCCCGCAATGTGAAATGGCCAGATAATCATGAAAGCAGCTGTCTCGGGGTGCCAAAAGATTAAACGTTGACCTAAAAACCGATTTAATGGNTTTAATGGCGAATGTATAGTGAGAAAAACAACGGACAGACCTGCCGAAATAGTTAATGATTTTCTAATAAAATCGACCAGACTAGAGGCGGCGTCCAGTATAGATCAATCTGAATTGCTTGGTTCTGGTTATCGACGGCAAACGACTCAGAATTGCATTGTCAATCAACTTTACATCTGCTAAATTCAGTGGGATGAGACGAAACCGTTTCGTAACAACACATTAGGAAAATGATTTGAGAATTGAAATAGTTGTAAAATGACGTCAGAAATTCTGAATCGATCGGGAAGACTCATTCACGAAGTAAGTCACCATATTGAACACCGAGACTGAACCGAATAACCGAAGAGCTGGAAGAAGACCGGGAGTGTTTACTACTAATGATATATTGGTGGTTGGAAGAATCCTACAGATGTTATCCTTGAAAACGTGCACTGAACTCGATCCATTGCATAAAAACGAGGGAATTTTAGTTTGAAGCATTCAGGTTGCTTTATCTATTTCATCAAAACACAAAGAAGATAAGTGTCACCGGATGGAAACATTTTGTTTTATCTTTTTAGTCACACTTAAAATAGATAGGCACATGTATGACACATGGGATTAATCAATTATGGTGAACAAACGTTTGCAAGCATACAAAGATCAGAAAATTCAGAGGTGGAAGTTAAAATACAGGTCAATCATGTATCCGTTGCGTAATCGATTTCATCAACCACATAGAATACGCTGAAGGAAGAAGTTTTCCGAAAGAGAACATTGGTTAACAATGGTTAGGTTAATATCCTTGTACAAGTTTGTTCACCATAATGAATTACTCCCCCGTGCTATATTTGGGCTTGTTTGTTTTTCGTCAGCGACTAGGACGATTAAATGAAATGTTACTATTTTAGTTGTCCATGCGAATACCCAGAAATGTAGATCGACAAACTCTAGTCGTTCGACTACGTTCATCTACATACAATTATGAACACATAAAACAGTTATATGGTAAATTACTTCGTTCCATATAGACATGTGGCAACCAAATCATATGTGTGGCGGTGTCAATGAAATGCAATGAAATTTTATAATTTACTGGTCATAAAGTTCACTCACTTTATTGCAATTGCGTATGAATCCGTTATCGCAAAATTAAACGTACGTGTACTGCTGACCAGTGCGTATTGTTTCTGAAAGATTACAATGATCATTTTTATTACAGATCTAACCAGTAGTTCTCATTAATTAAGATACACATCGTTTCTTAAGCGGCATTCGTGGAAAACCAAACAGAGGTTGGGGTGGATACACACATGTGATCTAATTGCCAATTTTATCTTCAAAACTAATGAATACCCCTTGACTGATCTCGAATAGTGATTTTTACAATGTGATTGAGAATATTATATCAAATGCGTGACGCAAACATTCAACTTCCTTTTCGCAAAAACGACACCACTTGACGATTCAGACTCGAAGAATTATGTAACACGCTTCAAGTACAAACAAAACAGTTGCATCGTTCTGTGGGTTGCGCATATAGAACCAAAACCTCAGGATATAATTGGTCCCTGTTTTCGGAGAAAGTGATGAGCACCTTACAAGCACACCCACGTATTGACAGCATATAAATACATGAGCTCCTAAACAAGTGCCAGTGCATCGCACTAATAAAATGCTGCGAACATTGATCGTAATATATTCAGTTATCAGCGCCTATGCCAATGCTGGTAATTCTGATATAACTCAATAAATTGCGAAGTATAACTTACAATATTGTAGATGCCAACAACCCTAAGTGCGGAGAGGAAAATATTGTTGCATCTTCCGTAAGTGAAACTATGTTGCTGCCCAAAACACGAACGGAGGAATGTAAATGGAACATTAGCACAAACACGCAACGATTAATTGAACTGATCAGAACAGCAACCGCTGGTCTTCCTTCGAATGAGGTAACGCTGGTGAACTTTACATTTATGAAACTCGTAGGACGATTCAACTACGAATTGCATCACATTGACCGGCCCGAACGAAGCATCATATGGTGATTGGTGCGATTCTAGAGAGGTGCAATCAGTTCTATCGAAAAAGTATATTATAATTCGAGTAAAGAAAGGTTCACAAGCTGCCGATCAGGATATCACATTGAAACACAAATTGGGTGAGTATCGTTTACATGCGTTAAACAATAACTTTGAAAGTGAACAACATTTGATTGTTGATTATGTTGAATGTTTTTCTTTTACTCCACAGTTAATGACCCGCAATGCACCAAAATCGTGAATCCTCCGAATGACGAGATGCAGTCCTTCAAAATAACTGATCAAGATCCCATTGTTCAAGGAATAGGCTGTGCTTGGGACTTGACATCTGCAGCTGACAAACGCATTCAAATTACTTTGGACTCGCATTCGGTACGTTCTTCATGAATGCTTCCATGCAACGATTTTGCCGCTCAATTTATAATGCACATGAATTCCAACTATGTAGACATAATAATTTCTCAAAATAATCATGCACTTTCAAATTATCTTTCTCTTTACAGTTTAGTGTTTGTATTGATGAACGTTTTATGGCCGCTTGTCTACTGTCTTTTTAGTTAATTACGCATTTTCGGGCAATTTTGTATATCAAACATACGACTGTATATATCAAAAGCCATTTGTTGTTTCTTCATGCCAAACGCGTCGTTTTATATATGAAAATACACCCTGAACCATAGCTGTCAAATAATTCTCTCTGAAACAAATGTGCTTTATTCTTCAACACAAGCACTCAACAACACATCAGACTAATTTTGTACTACTGCAAGGGGAGATCATCTGAGTAGACGTATTTGGCAAGCACATCACTCACTCCGCATACATCATCTCATCTACAGACCGCTAATAATGATCAATGCATAACTGTGTCCTCGAGAGATAGTCCGGATTCGACGGCGGCACAGAAGATTTGCTGCGAGGAAGGGAAAAACGTTTTCAAAGGAGATGCTGGCAAGGATGTCACGATCACGTTCGAGAGTNNACCATCTGACAATTTCATCAAAAATTTCCAAGTAAACTACCAACTTGGTGAGCCCCATCTGTGTTAGAAAAGCTTTACTTTTACAAACATGGAAAGATTTGCAACCGTCTGATCGGTAGATTTTGCATGTCTATTGGTAGATAAGTATAGCTATCCTTGTGGCGCTGAATTAAGAACGGTCCCTTTGTTCGCACACTTTAAAGCAAATAGCGAAGCGGAGTTTTGAAACGTCAAACATTATCCAGTGACGATGAATGAACGACTGAATCTCGAAGCATAATTGATATACTGAAGTGCAAGCATTTCATTGAATAAACAATCTATCCCATTAGAAGTATCCTCAAGAAAAGACGGCGAATTCGAATCAATAGTACAACTGGGCAATTAGTATTGAACGATCTGATATCTAAATCCTAACTGCACTTTCGGTTGTTGATGGTGTATTTTATTTTATTTTCTGTCGATATGTGGCATCTCAGTCGATGAACAATCCTAATTATTTGGAA